AAATAATTTCTTTCTTTATCTCGCTCTCTCTCTCTTTCCTACAAATATCCCTTTATCGCATCCGGAAATATGCAAAGGCAGAAGACTCGCATACGAAAGCTATTCGACAATATTTGGAAAGTTGAAAACACCTTTCCACTTGCTTGGATAAATATTTCCATTTCGATGCAAAGTTTCTCATCGCGGGCGTTTCCTGATCCAAAAAAGGAGAACCCCGCTCGAGCATACACATACATATAATTATTACATCACTGTTGCATTTGCCTTTCGTCAAATATCGCACAATTCAAAATTACGTCGTTTCTCCCCGGATTTCTCGCATTTTAACGTGAATTCTTTTTCGTTGAAATTGCAGATATCTCGCGAAAATCCGCTGAAGTAAATGAACGCAGACGGAAAATTCATTTTCCGAGCTATGAGCCGTCGAATGTAAAGCCGGCGCTGTCTATATCGCAACGCGACGATAAACGTTCCGTTAAGGAAAATTGTGCGCCAGCCCGTTGTACCGGGGCGAACTTGTCATGAGAATGCATGGGGGAGTGCACTCGCGCGTGCATCGAGTGTACATGGGCCAACTCGTATTCGAGACACATTTCCATGTACTGTGGAAAGACGACGTGAGTAATCGACTATTTCGTCGCGCGACACACGTTTTGACATCTTTCCTCAACGTCTTAGAGGTTCGTAAAATGATTGTCTTAGACGTTACAATTTCACTTATAAAACGGTGGATACTCGGGATGTAACGTTGCCTCTAGCAGTTCATTTTAATTCGATAAATCGATTCCCGAAGACCGCTCGCAATTCCATTTTGCGCCCTTACGTTTTCCCGTTCGGGAGAAAAATAGCCGTGGCGTATCGATCGCGCGTGCTTCCTTCTTCCCCGACATACAGCGATTTGCATTCGATTCCATTCGCGGTTTAATTGAAAGCCGTCGAGTCCCGTAATTAACGCGCGGCGCGGTATAACGTTTCTCAAAAGACCGGGTCTTACACAGGCATTGTTAGCGATAGATGGCGACGAATATATCTTCCAATTTCATGTACAAATATGCCAATTGAAACGCGTGTGCACACAAACAATCCGTAAATTTCGCGACTTGATATTGAGAATAACTGTCGACGTACTCGTGTCCGCGGTATTCCGTTGCGAGTGCTACTGACGTTTCACGGTGAAAAAAGCGCGAAAGAATATAAATTTCGCTCTTTTCCTGCCGCGTGAATTTTCCACGTCGTACCGAAATAATTACAGCATTTACCGTATTCTAGTCGGGTCTTCAATTCGATTCTCGTTAAGCAGCACGCGACACCTTATCGAGTGTAAAAAAAATTGCAATCGCACCCCGCGCACACGACCGAACAAGAATCAGGTTCACAAGTCATTTGAACGTATCTCTGGCTCCGCCATATGCGCGCAGTGCAATTACCATACAATTCATTCCACAATAATAAATAGAGGTGCTACCTTCGGGGAGATGAGATTAAGCACTGAGACGTGCCGCCAATATATATACATTATACAATATATATATACATGATATACAGGGTGAGTCTTTCCATATCCGACAAAATTTTTGAGAAAGTAGAACGGATCGAGATGAACAGAAAAGTCCTGTACCATTTTGCAATTTTCGTAATAGTTAACGAGTAATTAATTATTAAAAATCGTTGTCTTAGGCCGGCCTACCGGTGACCGCCTGGCGATCGATATTGCTACGCGCATATCTCGCCACGCGCTCGAATTGGGCAGTAGGCCGGCCTAAGACAACGATTTTTAATAATTAATT